CACACTCAGTGACCCTCAGCATCAAGGCCAAGGCTGCCCAGCTGCCACCACCAGGACATGAGGAGGTTCATCAGCTGGGATCTCACTGGGCTCTAATGGCATATCCTGCTCACTGCTTCCTCTCCCCATCACGCCTTCCCTGGTCTCTTCTCTTTTTCTAAGAGCCCATGTCAGCCAGTTGGGCAGATTACCATGAGCTGGCTGGTTCCACATTCATCTAAAGGATCAAGATGGGAGCTGAGGGAGGAGTTCAGTGTGTGGGATGGTCCCTGCACAGGACACCAAGAGTCATGAGCTCTACATTTCTCTAACAGACAGCAACCCCTCGACTACGACAATATTTCCTGTAAGAAGGAAGTGATAATTTGTGAGCCTTTCCCACTCTTCTTTACTCCTGGATATGTTTTGTCCACATTGTGACCCACCCTTCTTCCAGGGTCAGCCATTCTGGATCCTGTGCTGTGTCCTCACAGTGCTCAAGGGCTGTGCTGCCATTGCCCTGCTCTGCTTTGTTCAGCCCCTGCTCTCTGCTCACACACAGCCCTGGGGAACTTCACAGAATCACACCCAGTATTAAAAGTTGGAAGGGACCCACAAGGATCATCGAGTCCAACTCCTGAGCCTTCTCTGGACCATCCCCCAGAGTCACACCACATGCCCGGGAGTATCGTCCAAACGCTTCTTGTACTTGCACCGAGCCAGTGGTGCTGAACCCCCACACAGGCACCTCCTGCTCCCAGACAGTAGCATCTCCAGCTTCTGGGTAAGGGAGAGGGGATGCAACCATCTCCTAAGTTATCCCAAACAGGGCATTCACGTTCAACCTTGATGTCTGCCTCACCCCTCTGGGAGGATCTGTGGGCATGTGCTGGGAATTCCTGGAGGTGCTGCCATTGCTGGAGGAGCTGCATTTCTGCTGTTCCCCCCACTGTCCTGGTTTTAGCTCTCCTGAAGGAAACATTTGCTTGGAGAGGCCTCAAAACACACCCAGATCCTTCTCCATGAAATACCCCTGCTCCCAGTTTTGTGAAATCATCTGGTGCAGGCAGGGAAGGTGTCCAGAAAAGTTCTCTGAGAGGGGAAGAGGCAAATGGGAAGAGCCTGGAAAATCTCTGGGCTGTAAATAAAGCATGACTTTGCACATCTCTCAGTTTAATGAAACACAAGTGTTTGGCTCAGGAGGATGAGTTAGGAGGAAGACCAAACTCCTCCCTCTAAGCAGTTGTAAATCCGAAATTAGGAAGCTCTAAGTATGGAGAAGAAGTATGGAGAAAGGAAAAATAACAGTCCTTTATTAAAGGATATGTGTGTGTTGGTAGAACAACGATAGAACACAAAACAAACCAATTAATCCTGCACCAAAAATCCCCCTCAAAAAAAGGAAAGAGTCCGGTATTCCTGGCTTTTTGGCGCAATTCCAATCAAGGTCAGCAGGGGCCACTGTTGGATCACCGGAGAAGGAGAGCCTGCAGGGGCTCCTTGACAAGGGCGATTTTCGCCCCCCACACCGAGAAGGGGAAAAGAAACGGGATGTTTCTGCCTCATCCAACCCTAACCCTAATCCTAACCCTAACCCTAACCCTAACCCTAACCCTAACCCTAACCCTAACCCTAACCCTAACCCTAACCCTAACCCTAACCTAACCCTAACCCTAATCTAACTCTTACCCCTAACCCTAACATTAACTCCTAACCCCTAACCCAAACCCTAAAACCTAAACCTAAATGTAAGTTTAAACCTAACAATAAACCCTAACCCCCTAACCCTAAACCTTAACCCCAAAAAACCTCTAAACCCTAACCCTAACTCTAAACACAAACCCTAAAATCTAAGCCTATGCCTAACCCTAACCCTAAACCCTTACCCTAAATCAAACCCTAAACCCTAACCCTAACCCTAATTAAAGGGACATTGGTGACATCACTGGGGACGAGTGTCATCACTGGGGATTGGTGAAAACAAAGAGACAGCTGTGATGTCACAGGGACATCAGTGACATCACATAAAACATCAGTGACATCACAAGTACATGGTTGACATCAAAGAGATATCAGTGACCTCACTGGGGATATTGCTGACATCACAGAGGACAGTGATGACATCACAGGGACATGGGTGACATCCCTGAGTAGCAGTGACATCACAATGGACTGGTGACAACACAGGGACAGGTATGGAATCACAGGGACATGGGTGACATCACAGGGGTCTGCTGACATCACAAGGATATCGGTGACAATACGGGAACAAGGTGCCACTGCTGGGCCCAGTGGTGGTACCACAGGGACAACTGTGACATCACTGGGGACCAGTAACATCACAGGGGGCTGGTTAAAAAAAGGTGACAGTTGTGATGTCACAGGGACATCAGTGACATGAAAGGAGTCTGGTGACATCGCAGGGACATGGGTGACATCACTGAGGACCAGTGACATCACAGATAACTGGTGAAAACAAAGGGACAGTGGTGATGTCACAGTGACATCGGTGACATCAATGGGGACATTGGTGTCTTCATAAGGACAAGGGTGACATTACAGAGACAGCAGTGACATCATCGGGGACACGGGTGACATCACAGGGTACAGTGGTGACATGACATAGACATTGGTGATACCATTAGGGACCAGTGACATCCCAGGGGACTGGTGACACGAAAGGGACAGTTGTGATGCTACAGGGACATCACTGACATCAAAGGGGTCTGGTGACATCACAGGGACATCAGTGACATCACGGGGACATGGTGCCACTGCTGGGGACAGTGGTGGTATCACAGAGACTGAAGTGACATCATCTGGGACCAGTGACGTCACAAGGGACTGTGACAAGAAAGGGACAGTCGTGATGTCACAGGGACATTGGTGATATCACAGGGGGTTTTAGTGACTTCAAAAGAACATGGGTGACATCACAGTGACACCAGTGAAAACGTCAGGGACATCGGTGACATCAGAGTGGACATCACAGGAAAGTCAGTGACATCACTGGGGACCAGTGACATCACAGGGGAGAGTTGAGAGCACAGAGACAGTTGTGATGGCACAAAGCCATCTGTGACATCACAGGGGTCTGGTAACATCACAGGGACATCACTGACATCACGGGGACATGGTGGCACTGCCGGGGACAGTGGTGAAATCACAGAGAAAGAAGTGACATTATTGGGGACCAGTGGCATCACAGGGGACTGCTGTCCACAAAGGGACACCTGTGATATCACAGGGACATTTGTGATATTACAGGGGACATCAGTGACATCACAAGGCTAGGTGTGACATCACAGAGACACCAATGACATCATCAGTGACACTGGTGGCATCACAGGGGATAGTGGTGACATCACCGGGACATCGGTGACATCACTGCGAACAGTGTCATCACAGAGGACTGTTGTCTACAAAGGGACAGTTGTGATGTCACAGGGACATCACTGACATCGATGACATGATGGGGATGTAGTGCCACCGTTTGGCACAGTGGTGACATCACAGAGACAGCAGGACATCATTGGGGACATTGTTGACATCACAGGGGACAGTGATGACACCACAGAAACACCAGTGACATTAACGGGGACATCTTTGACATCACAGGGAATATTGGTGACTTCACAAGGTCAGAGGTGACATCACAGAGATACCAGTGACATCATCAGAGACATGGGTGACATCACAGGGGACAGTGGTGACATCACAGGGACAGAGGTTACATCACTGGGGAACAGCGACATCACAGGGGACTGATAACAATAAAGGGACAGCAGTGATGTCACAGGCACATCGGTGACATCACAGGGACATGGTGCTACCACTGAGGACAGTAGTGACATCACAGAGACAGCAATTGTGTCATTGAGGACCAGAAATATCACTGGGGACTGCTGACAACAAAGGGAAAGCTGGGATGTCACAGGGACATCACTGACATCACAGGGGACCTGGATAACAACACAGAGACACCAGTGATATCATGGGGGACATTGGTGACATCACAGGGGACAGTGGTGACAATACAGGGACAGTGGTGACATCATTTTGGGCCAGTGACATCACAGAAGACTGGTGAAAACAAAGAGGCAGCCGTGATCTCCCAAGGACATCAGTGACATCACAGGGGACATCGGTGACTTCACAAGGACAGGGGTGACATTGCAGAGACACCAGTGACATCATCGGTGACACTGGTGACATCACAGGGGACTGGTGACCACAAATGGACAACCGTGATGTCACAGGGACATCAGTGACATCAGAGGGGACAGCGGTGACATTATTTGGGACCAGTGACATCACAGGGGACTGGTGACAAAAAAAGACAGCCCTGATGTCACAGGGAAATCAGTGACATGATGGGGACATGGTGCCATGGCTCGGCACAGTGGTGACATCACAGAGACAGCAGGACATCATTGGGGACATGGTTGACATCACAGAGACACCAATGACATCACAGGGGACATCGGTGACTTCACAAGGTCATGGCTGACATCATAGAGACACCAGTGACAGTATCGGTGTCACTGGTGACATCACAGGGCACCGGTGACATCATAGGGACATCAGTGACATCACTGGGGACCAGTGACATCACAGGGAAGTGATGACATTATTGAGGACACAGGGACCAGCCCTGGGGACAGCAGTGACATCACAGGGACATTGGTGACATCAAAGGTACAGTGGTGACATCATACAAACAGTGGTGATGTCATTGGGGACATTGGTGACATCACTGGAGACCAGTGACATCACAGGGTTCTGGTGACATCACAGGGACAGCAGTGACATTTTGGGGACATGGGGACCACCCTTGGGGACAGCAGTGAAATCACATGGGATAGTGGTGACATCCGTGGAGACAGCAATGACATCACTTGAGACTACTGACATCAAAGGGACAGCAGTGACATCACAGGGACAGTGGTGATATCTGGTGGGACAGTAGTGACATCACTGGAGACACAGGTAGAAGCCGAGCCCCAGAGCCAGGAAGACCAAACCCAACACGAAGCCCCCGACCCCCACCAGGATCTTGCTGAAGGCAGGGAGGGCGGTGGCAGCAGCGGGGTGGAGACGCGGGGGGGCATTGGGAGAGACTGGGATGGACTAGGGACACTGGAAAGGAATTGGATGGATTCCAATGGAATGGGGGGCACTGGGAGAGTCTGGGATGGACTCGGGGGGTATCGGAAGAGGCTGGGATGGACTGGGGAGCACTGGGATAAGCACAGGGAGGGCTGAGGGGTCTGGGGTGATTCCCAGGGAGGGTTTGAGGGGCTCCAGGGTCATTCCCGAGGCAGGGAAATTTCCGAGTGGACCCGCTCTGCCCCTCGCTCACCTCTCCTCTCCACGCTGAACGGGGTGAACACCTCGTAGTTGTGTCGGCAGAACGTGTCCACCTGAGCCCGAAAGTAGTCCAGCCTTTCCTGTATTCTGTTCCAGTACCTGGCCTGGAACTCCCCATACGGGGTGTCCCCCACATAGACCCCCACATCGCTGTCAAAGTGCATGTACTGCTGCCGGTTGTAGATGAGCCTCTCCACGAACCTCACCCGCTCGGTGCCATTGATGAAGTGACACTCGTGCTTTGCCATGTCCTGGAACACCCCTGTGTGTGCAGGACACGGGTCAGGGGGTGCCCCGTCGCCCCCATCATCCCCAGCCCCCCACAGCAGGTTGGGAGCTCAGGGGGCCACCCTGGACCCCTCTTTCCCAACCCCCTCTGCCCCACGGCCCCCGCAGCACCGGCTTTTGGACAGGGGGGTTGGGGACCCCCCAGTGCAGATCCGACCCCACCTCCAGAGCCTCAGGGAATCGCTGCAGGGCTCCAGTGATGGGGGACACCAAGGGACCCCCATGGTACCCCTCTTCCTGCTCTCCCACCCCCCTTTTCCCCCTCTCTCACTGTACCCCCAGTCCCCAGACCCTCCCGCGCTCAGTTTGGGGCTCCCACCCCCCTCGCACTCACTTTTGGGAGTCCTACCCCCTCTTTTCTCTCCGCTTTCCCCCCTTTCCCGCCCCCCTCCCCTCCGCTCACCCGAGAGCTCCTCGCCCGCAGCCGGGGGGGCTCCCAGCGCCACCAGTACCACCAGTACGGTCCCAGCTCCCCGCACACGCTCCATCCCCAGGGCCAGGTAGGTGCTGACACCCCAAAACCAGCCGGACAAAGCCGGTTTTGGGCTGTTTTGGACACGCTCTGATTGGCTGAGCGCAAAGTTGGGAGACAATTTTGCGTCGCGTCTTCCCGGTAACTGATGAGTCATCAGCAAGGCGCGCTCTGATTGGCCACAGTTCGCGTCGGTGCTCTCTGATTGGCTGAAGGCCGTTAAGGGCGCTGCAGCCCCCGGTGGGCGGTTCTGGGGGGTCTTTGGGATGCGGGGCAGGTGGGAGCTCAGGGGAACCCACAAATGGGCGTTCAGGGGTCCCGCAGCTCTGCTGAACCCAAAAATGGCGATCAGGCTGTCCCGGAGCTCCGATAGGCTCCCAAAACCGAGCGGAGGGTGTTCTCTGATTGGCTGAGCTTGATGAAAGCTCAGTTTTAACCGGGTCTGCCCGGCAACTGATGACGCTTCAGCTGCGCTCTCTCCCATTGGCTGGAGAGTTTTCGGGGTGCTCTGCGCCCCCGGCCCAGCTCCCCCAGTTCGCCGCCGCTTTCCTGGGAGCCACATCGACTCTTCCCGGTATCCCGGTGTCCGGAGGGGCCATGGATGGAGCTCGGAGTATCCCCCTGCTGCCTCTGCTGCTGCTGGGGCTGACCCTGTCCGCGGCTTGGGGGGTCCCGGATTGCTGGGGTTGGGGCTTGGTGTGATCTGGGTACGTGGGAATTCGGTGTTTGGGGGGGCGGAGGGTGAGCAATCTTCGTTTTACCCGGTATTTTGGGTGTCCTGGAGTGACCAACCCCCCTGTTCCTACAGTTTTGGGGTTCTGAGAGTGCTTAAACTTCCCTTTTCTGGGATTTTTTGGGGTTGGGAGTGACCAAAGGCCTATGTTCTGGGGTTTTGGGGAGTCTAGCATTACCCCAACCCCCCTGTTCCAGTGATTTTGGGGATCTGGGAGTGCCCCAACCCCCCTGTTCGAACAGTTTTGGGGTTCTGGGAGTGCTTAAACTTCCCTTTTCTGGGATTTTTTGGGGGCTGGGAGTGACCAAACCCCCTGTTCCTGGGATTTTGGGGGTCTGGGAGTGTCCCAACCCCCCTGTTCCTACAGTTTTGGGGTTCTGGGACTACTTAAACTTCCCTTTTTCTGGGACTTTTAGGGTCTGGGAGTGCCCAAACCCCCCTGTTCCTGGGATTTTGGGGGTCTGGATGTGCCCAAACCACCTTTTTTTTCCACAGGATTTTTAGTGACTGGGAGTGCCCAAACCCCTCTTTTCCTACAATTTTTGGGGTCTGGGAGTACCCCAACCCCCCTGTTCCCAGGATTTTTAGTGTCTTGGAGTTTCCAAACCTCTATTTTCCCTTTTTTGGGGGGGTCTGGGAGTGCCCCAACCCCCCTGTTCCCAGGATTTTCAGGGTCTGGGAGTACCCAAACTCCCCTTTTCCATGATTTTTTGATTGCGGAACTGCCCAGTCCTGGGGTTTTCGGGGCACCGTGGCTACCCAAGGACCTCTTTCCTGGGGATTTTGGGCTGAACCCCCCCATTTTCCTGGGATTTCGAGCTGAACTCCCCCCATTTTCCCAGGATTTCAGGCTGAACCCCCCCCTTTTCCCGGGATTTCGGGCTGAACCGCCCCCCCTTTCCCAAGGTTTCCAGGTGATTTCTCCCCCTTTTCCCTGGATTTCACGCTGAACATCTCCCACCACCCCCCACCCCACCCCCCACCTCTTTTCCTGGGATTTCGGGCTGGCACCCTTCCTCCTCTCCCAGGATTTCGGGCTGAAAATCCCCCCTTTTCCCGGGATTTTGGGCTGAAAACCCCCCTTTTCCTACAATTTCAGACTGAAGCCCCCGCCCCTTTTCCCGGGATTTTCACCTGACAACCCTCCTTCTTTCCTGGGATTTCGGGCTGCAAATCCCTCATGTTCCCAGGTTTTTGGGATGAACCCCCTCATTTCCCTGGAATTTTGGGCTGAAACCCCCTCGTTTTCCCGGGATTTTGAGCTGAAACCCCACCTTTTCCCTGGATTTCAGGCTAACCACCCCCCCCCCTTTTCCCACAATTTCACCCTGAAACCCCCCCTTTCCCAGGATTTCGGTCTCAACCCCTCCCGAACCTCCTCTTCCCAGTGTCCCACCAGATTATCCAGACAGAATACTACCAAAAAACCCTGGATTCGATGGTGGAAGAGGGCAGCAAGTTCATGTTCGACTTCGAGCAACGAGATTTTCCACCTGGAGTGGGAGCAGACGGTCTGGAGGCTCCCAGAATTCCAGGAATTCACCAGTTTCAAGGCACAGGGGGTGCTGCAGAATATCAAGATAGACAAGTAGAACCTGGAGAACTCCATGAAGGCTTCCAACAATTCCCAAATCCCCAGCAGTAATGGTGGGATTAGGGAAGGGAAAGGGAAAAAAGGGAAAGGGAATTAGGGAACTTTCTGGTAGGACTTTTAGGGAGGAACCAGGTGGAATTCCAGGGATATTCCGGTTTTTGGGCTTCCCCCTCCCCCCCAAGTCCTATCCAGGGGATCCTGGGAGAATTCCAGGGGGTTCCAGCCAAATTCCAGGGGGATCCAACCCAATTCCAAGGCAGATCCCAGGCAGATGATCCCAGTCCTGGCTCCTCCCCCCGCAACACCTCTTTCCATCCCAAACTCCATCCTTATCCAATTCCCACCCCATCCCACCCATTTTCCACCCCATCCCACCCCTTTCTCACCTTCTCCCACTCCATTCCCACCTCATCCCAACCCCATCCCACCCCATCCCAACCCCTTTCCACTCCATCCCACCCCTTTCCCAACCCCATCCCACCCCATCCCAACCCCTTTCCCACCCCTCTCTCACCTTCTCCCACTCATCCTATCCCCTCCCACCCACTTCCCACCCCATCCCCACCTCATCCCGCTCCCTCCCACCCCTTTCCCATCTTCTCCCACCCCTTTCCCACCTCATCCCACCCTTTCCCACCTCATCCCACTCCCATCCCACCCATTTCCCACCCATTCCTACCCCATCCCAATCCTTTTTTCCATCCCAAACTCCATCCCACCCTATTCCCACCCCATCCCACTCCATCCCAACCCCTTTCCACTCCATCCCACTCCCTTCTCACCCCATCCTAACCGCCTTCTCCATCCCAACCCCCTTCCTTACCCCATTCCCACCCCCATTCCCTGTGTCCCAGTGCCCCCAGAGAAGGCTGTGTTCCCGAAGCATGCACTGGAGCTGGACGAGCCCAACGTGCTCATCTGCTACGTCAGCAAGTTCTGGCCTCCCATCTCCTCCATGTCCTGGCTCCGGAAGGGGCTCCCAGTGTCCGAGGGGGTGCTGGAGATGGTGTTTTATTCCGGGCCCGACAACACCTTCTGCAAGTTCTCCTACCTGTCCTTCATCCCGTTCCAGGGGAATTACTATGATTGTTGCGTGAGGCATGAGGGGCTCGGCCAGCCCATCAAGACACACTGAGGTAAGGCTGGGAGGGAGAATTCCCGCTGGGAATGGGGTGGGATGAGCTGGGAATGGGGTGGGAATGGGTAGGGATGAACTGGGAATGGGGTGGAGAAGGTGGAAATGGAGTGGGGATGGGATTACTATGATTGTTGCGTGCAGCATGAGGGGCTCGGCCAGCCCAGCAAGACTCACTGGGGTAAGGGAGGGATTGGGAATTCCTGCTAGGAATGGGGTGGGAATGGGCAGAGAAGGTGGGGATGAGCTGGGAATGGGATGGGATGGGGTGGAGAAGGTGGAAATGGGATGGGGATGGGAGGTGTTTAAGGAAAGAATGGACATGGCACTTAGTGCATGGTCTGCTTGATGTGCTGGGGATGGGTGGAAGGCTGGATGCCTGTTGATCTCAGAACTTCTTCTTCTCCCCACAGCATTTCCAATCACTCTGTTTTTGGAGTCATGGGCTCTGCTCCTCTCTGCCTAAAAACAAAATCAAAAGATGAAAGGAAAAAGGCCCATCTTTATTGCACAGTTTTTTTCTCCTGCTTCTTTCTGTGAACTGTGAATTTTGATTTAAAAGCATAACAACTTTTAATTAATCAGAGATTTGAGCCTCGAACAGTGAGTTTCATCTGCTCCCCTACAGGTGCTCCTGGGAACTTGTTTTCTCCAGGCTCCCTCTATAGTCAGTGGAGACAAGAGAAGGCTCTGCAGGCTGGGTTCTCCCAGTCTAAAATTGGCAGGCAAAAGAAAGCTTACAAATCAATTACTGTCACTGTTCTTTTGCTCTGCCTTTTGGTTGGAACATTTGAGAGCAAGAGCAACGAGCAACTGTATGGAAAGAAGTGCCTTTTTGTGCAGATGGGTGTGAGGTGGGACTCTGTGACACACTGTGTGGATCCATAACAAATGCTGCTCATCATTTAGAGGACTAAAAAGGCAAGTTATACTTGGTCCCTATTCTGCCCTCCTCTCTCTTCCTGAAGAACCAGACAGCAAGAAGCTGTGGCAGAAAGCAGGAGATTGCAAAATACTTGATATTGATTATTTTGAAATCAACAGATTCTTGGGGATTCCCAGTGCAAAAGGCAAACACTGAAAAGTAGAAACAAGAGCTTTAAACATACAGAGTGGATGTGATTTCATGGGTTAGCATTTGTGCAGTAGAAGAGAGGGTTTTGGCACATAAGTGTGACAGATGTTTGCAATAGGTGTGAGTGAGCTTGGAATTTCCCAGGAATGGGGTGAAATGGCCAACAGCCTCTTTAGAATCCTCTGTTCTGGTGAAAGAAAAAAAGTAGAAATAAGAAAAAATCCCTGAAGACTCCAAGTGAAATGTGAAACAGAAAAATCAGGGGGTGAGAATTGCTAGAAGGACAATCTCTGTGCTAGACAGGAAGACTGCAGGAAAAGAAAGGAGCAGAGAGGGAAGGATAGAACATTTTGTCCAGACTGTGAAATTATCACCCTGGGTTTTGCCACGTTCCTGTCTCAGCAGGAGGAACTGAAATTCAGCATGGGACCAGCAAATGAAACAGCAGTTACTGAGTTCATCCTAGAGGGTTTCCCAGAGCTTGATCAAAGGCTGCAGCTGTTTCTCTCTGTGATCCTTCTGTTCATGTACCTGACAACAGTGACAGGGAATGCAATCATCATTTTCCTCGTGCATGTGGATCACCACCTGCAAACCCCCATGTTCTTTTTCATTAGCAACCTGCCTTCCTGGAAATCTGGTTTACATCCTCCACAAGCATCAAACTGGTTGCCATGCTGAGTTCTGATCAGAAAACCATCTCCCTGAACAGCTGCTTTGCCCAATCCTATTTCTATTTTGCCCTGGGTGGCACAGAGTATGTCCTGCTCGTTGTCATGTCCTTTGACCGCTGTGTTGCCATCTGTCAACCCCTGCACTACGCTGCCACCATGCAGCCTCAGCTCTGCCTCGGCCTGGTTGTTGCTGCCTGGGTCATCGGCTTCACCCTCCAGAGCTACCGCCTGCTCTTCCTGTCTCAGCTGTCCTTCTGTGGCTCCAACAGGATTCCCCATTTTCTTTGTGACAACTCCCCCTTATTCCAACTGTCCTGCTCTGACACCAGCCTGCTTTGGAAAATAGACACTGCTTTCATATCATGTGTCGTGCTGGGTTCCTTAGGTTTAAATCTGGCATTTTACACCTGCATCCTTTTCTGTATTCTGCAGCTTCCAGCAGCCTCTGGGAGGAAGAAAAAAGCTTTTACTACCTGTTCTTCCCACCTCATCACCTTATCCATTGCATATGGGAGCTGCATTGCTCTCTACACGTGTCCTTCAACAGATGCTTCCTTGAAGACCAACAGAATTGTAGCTTTGCTGAACAGTGCTGTACCCATTTTTAAATCCATTCATCTACAGCTTTAGGAACAAGGCTGTGATACTGGCACTGAACAAATGCATTGCCAGGACAAGAGGAAAGCTCTTCCCCTAGTCATGATTCATTTCTGGACATAAATTCCAAGGATCTGCTCTCCCATGTTAAACAATACCAGGGCATATGTTTGTAACCTCCAAATGTGGAGGCCTCAGGAGATTTATGCTCTTGTCAGCTCGTGTCAGGTTAAGTGATAAGAAGCTCATCTGCACACCCAGATGGGGCACTAACAGTGGTAGGAGGAGTAACAGGGCAGTTAATGCTCTACCCTGGCTGCTCCATCCCTGCAGAGCCATCAGCTCACCAGGAATCCATCTCCAGACAGAGAGAGCACAGAGGAACAGTGGCAAGGGACAACCCAAATTACAGGCTCCTGAGAAGGGACACCATGTCCCAGCTCCTTCCAGGGCTGCCCTGGCAGAGCCATCAGGCCTGTTGTCCAGGTCTGAAAGCCCTAAGGCACTGAGAGCAGATCACCATTTGAACTAGGGGGATTGCTGCCTTGGAGTGTAGGACACATTCTGGGATGCAGGGGAAGAGCAGTTTTGGATTACACAGGGCCTGAGGGAAGTTGAGGGGAGGACCCCAACCAGTGCAGTCTGTTCTGTCTTCTCATTAAACTTAATTTCTAACTCCTGTGTGAGCCAATTCTCTCTGCAAGAGCTGGTGAGCGTGGGGGTGTGAGTGCAGCAACTGCAGGAGGACCAGGGCATCAAACAGCCCCCATGTCAACAGTGCTGGCAACGGAGCGACTGGAGCGGCTGCACTGCAGGGTCAGGGGGGTGTGTGAGTGTGGGGGTGTCCTGGGTGGGAGCAGAAGGCTTAGACAAAGCCTTTAAAGAAGCTCAACTGCTGTTGGGTCACGAGGTACAGAAAGGATCCCCTGGCTTTCTAAATTCCTTCTCAGAGAGGAGCCTGAGTGTGGCTGGATCCAATCTTAGCCTCGGGCTGTGTCAACGGTTTAAATTAAGGAATTACAGAGGTGTGATTAAATCACTTTGTCTTGCAGGTTTTAATGATGGCAGATCAGAGGTGTTTATATAAAATGAATTATTTATTATGACAAATGAACAGACAACTGAAAACAGATGAAAAATCTTAATCAGAATGATTTACTACAGGGGGAAAGACTAAAAACCTACTAGTAGGGTATAATATAGCATAAAGTAGTACAGTGCACTGTATCAAAGCAATTCTATTAAAGCAATTCTATCAAAACCAGCCAAAGAAACAAGCATTAAGGAGAGATTGATATAAACCACCATAGGAGACAGCAGACAGACCTCTCACTTAACCCCAGGGGAGCTACCAGGAAGAGCATTTGTGGCTCTCTGAGAGTTTGGGCTTCTTTTCCTTCTAAAAGGAGCATCACTCCAGTTGGAGGGAGACCACTGGACAATATGTTTGCTGTTGGAAGTCCCATCATTTGAATGCTTTCATTGGAATGAGTGGGAAACGGAGAACAAATCCAGCAGTTCCTGCTGTTTGTTCTCAGTGTCACAGCCTGCGTTGGCTTTCGGGGTGAGCTTCTCTTCCAAGGCTCACGTGGTGTTTGCTCTGGGTGTGTTCTATTGGAGTGGCCCTTGGGAAAAGGGACTTTGGTCTCTTTGCTTTCTTTTATCACTGTTAGTTGCAAGGCTCTGTTAGGACAACTGGCTAATCCAGGAGTAAATAACCACGCTGCATTACTAGAAACATTGGCCTATAAATATAAAAAAGATAAACCATTTTATGATTTTCACTTTAGAGAATCTTATTGTGTTTCAACTTTACCTGCAGCAGATTTATTGTTTACTGCACTGTCCAGGACAGTTGGTTCCTCTTTGTCCAGAGCTGTTTTATTCCCATACAGGGAATTTGGGAGTCTCCTCCCAGAGCTTCCACAGCCATGTTGGGAGACAAAAGTCCTTCCCACTTCTGCTTGAGCAGCTCCTTCTCTCACATTTGGACATACACCCAGTTTTCTGTCTGCTGAGGATATACTTGAACATCCAAGGTTTTTAGAGAAGCTAAAATCACAAACTTATACAATGACAAGTGTAGTTCAGAATGTGGAAAATATCCATGAGGAACTGATCCTGTGTTGGTGCTCATTAGAGTCCAGATTCAGTCAGGATAATGGTCCTCGAGTGTCCATCAGTCACAGGTACAGGGTCCCTTTGGTTCCAGGAGTCCCCACTGTGTCACAATTAAACCCTTTTATTCCATGAGGTTCCACAGCATCCCAGTTGCACTGATGACCCCATGAGGTTCCACAGTTTCCCAGGGTTCCTTTGGTTCCATGAGGTTCCACAGTGTCACAAGGGCCCCTTGATTCCAAGAAGCCCTGCAATGTCACAGTGGCCCCTTGATTCCATGAGGTTCCACAGTGTCCCGGGGTTCCTTTATCTCCATGAAGTTCCACAGTATCACAGGGTGCCTTTGGTTCCACGAGGCCCCACAGTGTCACAATGGCCCCTTGGTTCCCCAGGGCTCTGCAGTTGAAGTACTGAGGCCTGAACAACATCCCCTGAGCCAAAGTTGGCCTCTGATGAACCTTCCAACTTAACGTTCTATTTCTCCACGGATCCGCTCAGGAGCTAAAACTGTGTATGAGCATCAGTGAAATCTGTAGTGGGATAGGGCTGTATCTGTGTAAGATATATTTGTATCCACTCATTAGTGGAAAATATTTGTATTTGTTCATTAATAAAATATGCAGGATTGTGAAATGTGTGAAATATGAATGTATTTATCTTTCTGTGTTTAGATCCCGGTCAAGGCCATGGCAGTCGATGTCTGGCCTTGTTTGGCAGTAGTTGGTGCATGTTAAGTCCCTTGGTTTGCCCCTTAGGCCCTGACCAGGCTTTGGGTGGAGAAATTGCACCCTTGTTCCTTAGAGTTGGTGTCTGTGTGTCTTGTGCTGACCCTCTTCCCCTGGAGAAACAGGGTCCAGTGTGACACTGCAAGGGCTCATGGAACCCAAGCAATTTCGGGACAGGGTGGAACCTGGTGGAATCAAGGGGCCATGGTGACATTTCCAAACCTCAGGGAATCAAGGGGCCACTGGGACTCTGTGTCGTGGTTTTGCTCTGGATTAATTTGCTTTCACCCCCCCCCACAATTACTATTAGTTGAGAGAAGGTTTATGCAGACAAAACAGACTGGATTTGGGGAAAATAGTATGAACATTTATTACTAGCAAAATAAAACTACTAAGGAACTATATCTATAAGAATTCTACTTAAATAAAAAGTACTATGTATTTACAGAAATACTTCTCCCCCCTTTATATCAGTCCAGTTTCTTTCTCTATTCTCAGTGTTTCAGGTCTCTTCAATAACTCTGTAGCACTCTTGTCACAGCTGGAACTCTTTCTCTTTCTCTCTTGCTCTGTGTCAGCCTCCAGGGCTGGGCCTACCCCCCTCCTGGGCTAAGACCAGAGTCTGGGGATTGCCCAGGCCCTGAAGGTTTTTCTTCCATGGTTTTGCAAGGGGACACTTGCCTACCATGGCTCTTCTTCACCACAGAGTCACAGGGGATAATGGCTTTTGAGTCCATCCCTGTTTTCTGTGGAAGTCCCTCCCCATGGGAGAACAGTCCTTGATAGACGTCTTCTACATGGGTTTAGCATGGATCCCTCACTTGGATCCCAACATCCTACCAGGGCTGTCTCGCTCCAGCGTAGGTTTTCCTCAGGGTCACAAATCTTCAACAGGACTCTGCTTCACCTCAGGTCTCTCATAAAGTCTCGGCTTCTTCATGCATCAACTTACTCCAGTGTAGGCTCCTCCATGAGCAACATGGGGGTCTCCTCACCCCACAAAATTTCACAGGTAGTAGGGATTTACTTTTCAGTCTTTACCCTGCTGAAGGGAGAGAGCGAAAGGGGGAAGAAGCAAACCCCCACCCTTGGCACTTCTCTCTCCTGTTGCAGTTTCAGCTGCCAGCTTTAACATTGGACGTTCCGTTATCTCTTTGCTGGAATTTCTTCTGCTGCGGTTTCTGTCCAAGCAGTCAGCCTTTTAAACTTTTTCTTTTCTTCACTCTCTTACAAGAGAGAAGGGAGACTTCAGTGCCGCATCTGCCCCCCGGCCCAATCCGGGGGAGGAGGGGGCCTTGGCCCACTCAGGGCCCACTGTCACCTCTTCTACATGGTTGTTGCCCCTAACTTCAACTGCCCACCAACCTTTCTCTTCTGTTTTCTTAAAGATGTAATTAGCAAAGGCGTTACTGAGAGTTTTAATTGGGTTCTTGTCCGGAAATTCACCTGGACAAAACCATTCTCAGCCCCAGGGGCTAGCTGGCTGGGCAAAACCACAACAGACGTGGTGAGATTTTGTTTTGCTGGTTCTTTATTTTGTCAGTTCTTGGCTTTGATTGTGTGTATCTGTTCTGGTTTTGTCCCTTTTTGTCCCTTTTTTCCCCTTTGCCTCCAGGGGGTGTTTGGATTCCCTGTGCTGTGTATGCAGTGTCTTCATTGTGTATAACTGTAATATACGTAAACATATTTATCTTTATATAATTAAATTGATTTCAGGGGTTTTTTTTTATAGTTTTATTTTTTTCCTTTGCCCCGAGGGAGGAAAGGAGGGGAAGGGGTTGTCACTGTGAGTTCGGGTATTGGGAAGGAGCCAGGTCCGAACCATCACAGCCCATCCCTCGGGCAGCAGTTCTTCCATCATCTGCTGTCCCTCAGGGCATAAATAAGTTTCACCAGCGTGGATTCCCCCACAGGGCCACGAGTCCTACCCAGGACAACTCACCCCAGCACAGGTTTCTCTCTCCACGGGCCACAGGTCTCCAGCAGGACTCTGTTTCATCTCAGGCCTCCCATGGAGTCTCAGCTTCCTTGTGCATCCCCCTGCCCCAGTGCAGGCTCCTCCATGAGCTGCAGGGAGGGGTCTCCTCACCCCAAAAATCTTCCACAGGCATCAGGGGGGGCTCGGCTTTCAGTCCTTCCCCTGCTGGAGGGGGAGAGGGAGGCCTTTCTGGGCCTCTCCTCCTCCCCTCTCCTGCCACACTGGTCTTGGAGTCTCCATTCCTATCTCATGTTCTTCTCTGCTCTTCTCCCCAGCTGGAATTTCTTCTGTGCCACAGACTTCTCTTCCTGAGTTCTTCAATATGTTATCACAGGAGTGAATGCCACTGGCTGGAAGTGGTAGGAAGCCCACCCTGGAGCTGGCCATCCTTGGGTTTTTATGGAACAGCAAAAGCTGCTCATAAAAAGCTTCTGACCAAAATCACCTCCACGGCCCTCCTGTTCCCGAAAGTTCAGCCCCCTTGAAACCACGACAGTTCTGGTTGGTTCCCTGCTTTTAGTAAATCGTTCTTTCCTTTCCACACCTTGCCCGTTAAGTGTCACATTTTCAGATTTACAGTTAAATCTGGGAGGGAGGGGCTCCTGTTCCATCGGAGATCCCATCTCCTGGAAGATTAAACTGGGGGCAGCTGTGTGGAAGGGGCCTCTGTGGGTGTGGGCAGAGGGGTTTGCCATCAGCCTGCAGGTGGTGAGCAGTTGCACTTCTTTTTATCATCATTACTATCATCATCATTTGCCATTATTATTGCATTTTACTTTATTTACAAGTTATTAAATGTACAAGGTTTACTTTGGCCCCCATGTCCTTGCCCACCACGTGTCCCTCGTGTCACTGCCCACCACGTGTCCCCCATGTCCCTGCCCGCCACTTTGTCCCTCACGTCCCCACCGCTGGGGTTTTAAGCCCAGCTGGAAATCGAGCCCTTCATTCACCCATCCCTGCTTCCCATCCCTGGTGGAATTGGGGGGAGAATCCAAGGGACACGGGGAGGGAGGATCCAGGGGATGGGTGGAGGGGGGTGAGGACACGAGGATGGGACACAAACACCGGGAATGGGGACACCAACGGCCCTTTATTCCCTGTCCCCTCCCCCCTGGAGCAGGCGGCTGTAGGCGCCACGGCGCTCCCGCAGCTCCGCCGGCGTTCCCTGCTCGGCCACGGTCCCGCCCTCCAGCAGCACCAGCCGATCGGCCCCGTCCAGCACCCGCCGCCGGTGCGACACCACCAACACCGTCCGCGCCAGCCCGGCACGCACCCAGCGCTGTGCCTGGAGCAGGGAGACTGGATCCCATCCCATTCCATCCCATCCCTGTCCCACCCCATCCCATTCCATCCCATCCCTGAAACACCCCATCCCATCCCGCACCCAGCGCTGTGCCTGGAATGGGGAGACCGGACCCCCTCCCATTCCCTGTCCCACCCCATCCCATCCCGCACCCAGCGCTGCGCCTGCACCGGGGAGAGCTGAGCCCAGTCCAGCCAGCCCTGTCCCACCCTGTCCCACCCTGTATCATCCCATCCCATCCCATCCCATCCCATCCCATCCCATCCCATCCCATCCCATCCCATCCCATCCCAACCATCCCATCCCACCCCACCCCATCACCACCCTGTTCTCCATCCCATCCCCACCTCCACTATCCTGTCCTGTCCCCACTGTTCCCATCCCCACTGTCCCATCCCACCCCATTCCCACCACCCCAACCCCTCCCTTTCATCACTCTCTCCTCATCCCAAAATTCTCAACCCCACCATTCCCACCCCATCCCACCCCATCCCATCCCATCCCATCCCATCCCATCCCATCCCATCCCATCCCATCCCATCCCATCCCATCCCATCCCATCCCATCCCTTCTTTTCCATCCATTCATCTCAACTTCCCCCCATCCCACACCCCCCTGGTTTCCATCCCATCCTCCCCATTCCCATCCCACCATCTCGTCCCATTTCCCCACACCCTTCCCCCCCACCCCCAACTCCCTTTCCCTACCTGGTTGACCTTCCCCACCCCACCCCATCCCTTTGCCACCATCCCATCGTTCCCACCCCCATCCCACTGCCCCCATGTCCCCACCCCACTCACCGCCCCCTCATCTCCCTCATCCAGCGCCTCGTCAAGGATGAGAACGGTGGGACGGCGGAGCAGGGCCCGGGCCAGGGCCAGGCGACGCCTCTCGCCCGCTGCCAGCTGCCCCCCACGCTCCCCCACCTCTGCAGGGATCCCATGGGATCAGGGGGATCCAGACCCGGGGTGTCACCCCACCCAAATCCCACTGCTAGCTGCCCCCCACGCTCCCCCACCTCTGCGGGGATCCCATGGGATCAGGGGGATCCAGACCCGGGGTTCCACCCCCACATCCCATTGCCAGTCACCCCCTTTCCAACCCTCTCCCCTCCCCCAACTTTGCGGGGGATCCCATGGGATCAGGAGGATCCGGACCTGGGGTGTCCCCACCCCACATCCCACTGCCAGTCCTGTCTCCCCTATCGGCTCCCCCACTTCTGCCAAAGGATCCCAAAATCTGCAGGATCCATTCCAGGGGTGCCCCTCGTGCCCCCAGATCCCACTGGTGTCCCAGTCCCACTCCAGCCCCTGGATGCAGCCCCTGGCCCCAGGATTCCCCTGGGATCCTTCCCTGGTGTCCCAGTCCCACTCCAACCCTGGGATGTAGCCCCTGGCTCCAGAATTCCCCCGGGATCCTACTCTGGTTCCCACTGGTGTCCCAGTCCCACTCTAACCCTGGGATGCAGCCCCTGGCCCCAGGATTCCCCCAGGATTCTCCCCCGGTGTCCCAGCCCTGCTCCAGCCCCTGCCCCCAGGATTCCCCCGGGATTCCCCCCCAGCTCTCACCAGTGTCCCAGCCCTGCTTCAGCCCCTGGATGAACTCCAAGGCTCCAGCAGCAGCGGCCGCTTCCCGCAGCTCCGACTCTTCGCAGCCCTCCAGCCCCAGCACGACGTTCTCACGGATTGTTCCAGAAAACAGGATGGGATCCTGCTCCACCAGCACCACCTGCCCCGGCCCCGAGCCCGTGAGCTGTCCCAGCTCCTTGGTGTCCCCACCCCTGTTCCATGGTCCGACCCCAGTCTTGCGGGGTGTCCCCATCGCTGTGCCCACTGTGTCTCCATCCCTAATCCCACTGTCCCTAACCCCATCCCTTGATGTTCCCAATCCCATTTGCCAGTGTCCCCATTCCTACGCCTGGTACCCCCATCCTTGTTCCTATTGTCTCTGTACCCAGCGTTCCCCGTCCCACCCCAGTGTCCCCACCCTGTCCCTGGTGTCCCCATCCTTGTTCCTACTGTCCCTGTACCCAGTGTCCCCATCCCAGTTCAGTGAACCCATCCCACCTCAGTGTCCCCACCCTGTTCCTGGTGTCCCCATCCTTGTTCCTACTGTCCCTGTACCCGGTGTCCCCATCCCACCTCAGTGTCCCCATTCCACCTCAGTGTCCCCATGCCACCTCAGTGTCCCCACCCCGTCTCTGGTGTCCCCATCCCTTTTCCCAGTGCCCCCATCCCTGCCTCCTAGTTCCCAATTCCACTTCACCCCCCATGCCCATCCCCGCCATCTCCATCCCATCCCACCCCATCCCATTCCATCCCACCCTATTCCCTGCGTTCCCATCCCATCCCCGCCGCCCCATCTCCATCCCATCCCACCCCATCCCATTCCATCCCATCCCATCCTATTCCTTGCGTTCCCATCCCATCCCCGCCACCCCCACCTGCCGGTGCAGGTACTGGTGCTCGTATTCCCGCAAGGGGATCCCGTCCAGCAGCACCTCCCCGCTCCCGGGATCCCGCAGCCGCTCCAGCAGCGCCACGGTCATGCTCTTCCTGCTCCCGTTGGGCCCCGCCAGCACCGTCACCTCCCCAGGATGCAGCTCCAGGGACACGTCCTGTGGGATCAGGAACGGCTGACACCACAATTCCCACCCCTGGGAATGCCCACTGCCCCCCAAGATAGGCCACCAAGGACACATCCTGCGGGATAGGGGACAGCTGACACCGCAATTCCCACCCCTGGGAATCCCCACCCTCCCCAGGATATGCCTCCAAGGACACATCCTGTGGGATGGAGATGGCTGACACCGCAATTCCCACCCCTGGGAATCCCCACCCTCCCCACCGCAGACCCACCCTCAGCACGGGGCGCTTAGGATTTCCGGGATAGGTGAAGGAGACCCTCTGGAAGGCAACGTGGCCCTGGAGCTGGGGGGGCTCCAGCGTCCCACCGATGTGCCTGGAGGGTTTCCGATCCAGGTATTCCCAGATTTTCTGCCCGGCAGCCACGTTGGTGGTGAACTCGTTGAAGCCAGAGAGCAGCACCTGGGGGGAGGGGAGGGCAGGGGGTGGCACTGGCAGGGATTGGGAACAGGGCACAGATGGATGTTGGGACACATGGATCCTGCTGGATCACCTTGACGTGGCTGCCGACCGTGTCCCGGTACAGCAGGAAGGTGACGAGCACCCCAGGAGTGATGGATCCATCTCGGAGCTGCTGGTGGCTCTGGAAGAGCACCAGGACCCGGATGGCCAGCTTGAGCATCTGCAAGTGGGAACACGGATACTGGTGTCCCCATCCCAGTCCTGGTGTCCCCATCCCAGTCCCAGTGTCCCCAGCCCAGTCCCGGTGGCCCCATTCCCACTCCTGGTGTCCCCATCCCAGTCTCGGTGTCCCCATTCCCATTGTCTCCATAACTCCTCTTGGTATCCCCATCCCTGCCCCCACTCCCCCCACTTCCTTTCCTGGTGTCCCCATTCCCGCTCCTGGTGTCCCCATTCCCACTCCTGGTGTCCCCATCCCAGGTCCAGTGTCCCTATTCCCACTCCTGGTGTCCCCATCCCAGTCCCGGTGTCCCCATCCCAGTCCTAGTGTCCCCAGCCCGGTCCTGGTGTCCCCATTCCTATTGTCTCCACGACAATAGGCTCTTGGTATCCCAATCCCTGTCCCCACTCCCCCCCCTTCCTTTCCTGGTGTCCCCATTCCTGATTCTGGTGTTCCCATCCCTTGTCCCAGAGTCCCCATCCTGCTGCTGGTGTTGGCATTCCCATTCCCAGTGTCCCCATCTCTGATCCCAGTGTGCCTGTTCTGATCTTCCCACTCCCATTCCTGGTATCCCCATCCTTGATCCCAGTGTACCTGCTCTGGTCTTCTCATTCCCATTCCCGGTGTCCCCATCCCTGATCCTGATGTCCCCATCCCAGTGTCCCCACCCTGCTCCCAGCGCCCCCATTCCAGCGGTGTCCCCATTCCCGGTGTTGCCACTCCCGTTTTCCCCTGACCCTCTGGATGAGGGTGAATCCCGCCAGCTCCAGCTCCATCCGCTCCTTCAGCCTCAGCTCCTCGTCCAGGTTCCGGCCGTGCCGCTCCTCCTCCTCCTCCTCTGCCGAGAAGATCCGGATCGTCTCCATGGCGGCGATGGATTCCTGCACCCCCGAGGCCGTCCGGGCGGATGCTTCCAGCATGGAGCGCTGCAGAGCCTATGGAGCCACGAAGGGATTCCCAGCTTTCCCAGACTACCCTCCTGGCCCACCATCCACATCCCATCCCCACCAATCCCATCCCATCCCATCTCCCAGTCCCCCTCCCACAGTCCCCATTCCTCTGGTCCCATCCCCACCATTCACATTCCCAACATCCCATTCCTCTGGTCACCTTCCCCACTCCCATCTCTCTGATCCCCATCCAGCCATCCCATCCCGTCCCATCCCGTCCCATCCCCTCCCATCCCATCCCATCCCATCCCATCTCCGTCCCGTCCCGTCCCGTCCCATCCCATCCCATCCCATCCCATCCCATCCCATCCCATCCCATCCCATCCCATCCCATCCCCATCATTCCATCCTGCCCTGTCCCCAGCATTCCCACCATCCCCATCCCATACACCCCATTTCCATCCCATCCCACCTCACCCCATCCCACTGTTCCCATCCCCACCATCCCGTTCATCCCATCCCATCTCACCCCATCCCACAATTCCCATCCCTACCATCCTGTTCCCTTGCTCTCCATCCCACCCCACCTCACCCCATCCCACCGTTCCCATCCCATCCCATTCCCCTGCTCTCCATCCCATCCCATCCCATCCCATCCCATCCCATCCCATCCCATCCCATCCCATCCCATCCCATCCCATCCCATCCCCACCATCCCATTCATCCCATCCCATCTCACCCCATCCCACCATTCCCATCCCCACCATCCCATTACCTGCTCTCCACCCCACTCCCACCATTCCCACCCCGTTACTCCCTTCCCGCCCATCTCGTCCCGTGTTCCAGACCCGTCTCCGGGCGCTGTGGATGCGCTGGGCGGTGATCCCAAGGGGCAGTTCCAGTAGCGCCAGCAGCGCCAGCCCCGGTACCAGCCGGATCATGGCCGTGCCCACCACCAGTGCCATTCCCAGGCTCCGGAGCAGCAGGTTGGTCCCCCTCGGCACCGCCATGGACACCAGCGGCACCTCCGCGGAGAACCGTGTCGACAGCTCGGCTGCAGGGTGGGAAGGGAGGTTGGGATCATGGACACAAGGATGGGAATGGAGGGGAAAGATGGGACAGGTGGGATTGGGATGGTGGGAATGGGGGTATAGGATGAAGGTCAGGAGATGGAACGGGATGGTAGGATGGGATGACGGGTGGGACGGGATGGGAAAGGGGATGGCGGGAACGGGAGTAGTTGGAATGGATTGATGGGGATGGGATGGTGGGACAGGAGTGAGAATAAGGACAGGACAGTGGGATGGGATAGTGAGATTGGGATGGGATGGTAGAACGGGACTGGGGAAATGGGATAGGATGGAAAGGGATGGGATATTGGGATGGGAATGATGGAGATGGGATGGTGGGATGGGATAATGGAGGGTTGGGGTAGGATGGGATGGGGATTAGGGTAACAGGATGATGAGGAAAAGATGGAATGGCGGGATGGGGACTGGAGCAACGAAATGGGATGGTGGGATGGGATGGGGACTCGGGTAACACGATGACGAGGAAAGGATGGAATGGCGGGATGGGGAGTGAAATAATGGATGGGAAAGATGGATGGGTGGGGTAGGATGGGATGGAGACTCGAATAACAGGATGGCAGGGAAAGCATGGAATGGTGGGATAGGGACTGGAGTGATGGGATGGGATGGTGGGATGGGATGGGGACTAGGGTAACAGGATGACAGGGAAAGGATGGAACAGTGGGATAGGGACTGGAGTGACAGGATGGGATGGTGGGATGGCACCGGCCTGGGCCGCACCCCGTTACCTGCTGGCATTCCCTGGAAGAAATCCAGGTCCTGGTGCAGCAGGTGGGAGAAGAGCCGGAGGCGCAGGCTCTGCCGGAGACGCGCCGCCGCCAGCAGGAAGAGCCACCCGCGGCACCCGGAGAACAGGACGCTGTGGGGACACGGGGACATCAGGGACATTGGGGAACGCTGTGGACACAGGGACACCGGGAACGCTGTGGACACAGGGACACCGGGAACGCTGCGACCCACCTGGCTGCTTCGGTGGCCACCACCATCCCCACGGCTCCGGCAGTGAGTCCGTCCCCGCTCCGGACGGCGTCCAGAACCTTCCCGGTGACGTACGGCCCCACCGTCTCCCCTGGGCGACACCGGCACCGCGTCACCACGGGGGGACCCGATGGCAGGGGTTTGAGACCGAATTCGGGGGGTTCAGCACCCAAATTTGGGGGTTGGGACCCAAATAGGGGGGCTCAGCACCCAATTTTGGGGGTTCAGCACCCAAATTTTAGGGGTCAAGACCCAAATATGGGGGGTCAGCACCCAAAATTTAGGGGTTGGGACCAAAATAAGGGGGGGTTGGGACCCAAATATGGGAGGTTAGGACCCAAATATGCGGGGTCAGGATGCAAATATGAGGGGTCAAGACCCAAATATCGGGGAACAGGACCCAAATATGGGGGAGTCAGCATCCAATTTTGGGGGTTTAGCACTCAAATTTTAGGAGTTGAAACCCAAATATGGGGAGTCAGGATCCAAATATGGGTCAGGATCCAATTTCTTGGGAGTCAATACCCATTTTTGGGCATCAGACCCCCAAATTTTTTGGGGGTTAAACCCGAGTTTGATGGGTCAGGACACAATTTTTGGGTAGTGTCAGCACCCAGTTATGGGGGGACGGGGCAGGTGGGTCACCATCCAATTTTCAGGTGATCGGTTCCCAACGTAACGGGGGCTCAACAGCCAATTTTGGGATGGTCAGCACCCAATTTTGGGATGGTCAGTACCCGCTTTTAGGACTCAGCACCCAATTTAGGGGCAATCAACACCCAAGTTTGGAGGTTGGGGATCCAATTTTTTTTTCGGGGGGGGGGGTAAGCAGGTCCCAGAATTCCAGGCCGCTCACCACCCCAATTCCAGTGGGGGAGGGTCAGCCCCAAACCTGGGTGGGTTCAACACCAAATTTAGGGGCTGTGCACCCACTCTGGGGCTGCAAGACTCGGTTAATGGGGGGTCCATCGCCCTCCCTGTGCCATCACCCACCGGCAGCTGCCACCACGAGGCACAGAAAGGCAGCTCCCAGGACTTTCCACTCAGAGCAGGCCAGCACCAGGACCCTCCAGACGCCTCCGGGAACCTTGGGGACACCCCCGGGAGCTTTGGGGACACCACCCAGGGAGCGGGGGGCATCCCAGGCCAGCAGGGCCAGCGTGGCGGCCGCATGGGTGACCCCAAGCCAGGCGGGCGCCGCGGCTGCCAAGAGGCTGGGCCCAGTGCCGGGCAGGCCCAGGAGGCTCCGCAGGGCCATGAAGGCTGCAGGGGTGATGGCGATGGTGGCCACAGCAGCCGTGGTGGTGGCCCCGGGGGGACAGAGAGGGGACAGGAGCCGGGGGGCTGCGGCCAGGAGGGGCAGGCGCAGGGCGGCCTCGAGCCACACGCCCGCCAGGCCCAGCTGTGCCAATGCCGGCACCAGCGGGCCCAGTAAGGACAGGGACAGGGCATCAGCTGCCAGCAGCACCCCTGGGAGCAGCAGGGATGGAGGCAGCGCCATGGGGGGATTGGTAAGGACCAGTGCTCCCAGTATGAGTCCCAGTACGGCTTCCAGTACGGCTCCCAGTACAGCTCCTGGTTGGGCTCCCGGTACAGCTCCTGGTCAGGCTCCCAGTAGAGCTCCTGGTCAGGCTCCCAGCAGAGCTCCTGGTCAGGCTCCCAGTACAGCTCCCAGTACAGCTCCTGGTCAGGCTCACAGTACAGCTCCCAGTACAGCTCCTGGTGTGGATCCTCGTGAGGCTCCCAGTACAGCTCCCAGTATGGCTCCTGGTTGGGCTCCCGGTACGGTTCCCAGTACAGCTCCCAGTGGGGGTCCCAGTACAGCTTCTGCTCAGGCTCCTAGTACGGCTCCCAGTACAGCTCCCAGTACGGCTCCCAGTGGGGCTCCCAATATGGCTCCCAGTGGGGGTCCCAGTGCGGCTCCTGTGCTGGGGTTCAGCACCCTGTGAACTCACCAGTTAACACCAGTTAGGATTTGGGTGCTCCCCAGTCCCCACCAGTGCTCCCAGTACAGATTGCAGTGCTCATGAGTAGAAATCAGCGCTCCCAGTCCAGTCCCTCAGCTCCCCAGTCCACACCAGTGCTCCCAGTCCAGCTCCCTGAGCTCACCAGTCCACACCAGTGCTCCCAGTCCAGCCCCCTCAGCTCCCAGTCCACACCAGTGCTCCCAGTATGGCTCCCGGAGCTCCCCAGTCTGCACCAGTCCTCCCAGTTCAGAACGGGGTGCTCCCCAGTCCACACCAGTGCTCCCAGTCCAGCCCCCTGAGCTCACCAATCCACACCACTGCTCCCAGTAAAGCTGTGCCAGCTCACCAGTCCACACCAGTGCTCCCAGTAAAGTTGTGCCAGCTCACCAGTCCACACCAGTGCTCCCAGTACAGCCTGGGGTGCTTCCCCGTCCACACCAGTGCTCCCAGTCCAGCTGTACCAGTTCCGCAGTCCCCACCAGTGCTCCCAGTTCAGGCTCCCAGAACGCTCCGTTCTCTCCAGGCCACGCCCACTCCTGCCCTGGCCCCGCCTCGTTCCGCCCTGGCCCCGCCCAGACCCCGCCCTCTTTTTTGCTCCCATCCCCCCATTTCACAACCTGCTCCGGCTTCCTCTGCCCGGTAACTGATGACGTCAGTAAAACATTGACCAGTCAGCGCCGCAGTGGCGGGCTGTGGGCGGGGCCAGTCTGGGATTCCCGGGGATTCCCGGGGCGGAGCTTTCGGCTTTCCGGGAAACGGCGGCGGCTGCCGGGAAAGGAGCGGGAGGAACCGGCGGGATACACCGGGATACAGCGGGATACACCGGGAAACACCGAGATACACCGGGGTACACCGGGATATACCACGATCCACCGGGACTCACCAGGATACAGCGGGATACACCGGGGTAGACCGGGATACACCGGGGTACATCGGGATACACCGGGATACACCGGCACTCATCGGGATACACCACAACCGGGACCGGGACCTGCCGGGAGCGGGACCGGGATCCCCAGGGACCCACCGGGAGCTGAATCGGGGCCCACCGGGAGCCACCGGGGGGAACCAGGACCTACCAAGACCCACGGAAACCCACCGAAAGCAGAACCAGGACCACGGAAACCCACTGAAAGCAGAACCGGGACTGACCGGGACCCACTGGGACCCACCGAAAACAGAACCAGGACTCCCCGGGACCCACCAGGACCCACGGAAATCCACTGAAAGCAGAACCAGGACCGACCGGGACTCACCGAGACCTACTGAAAGCAGAACCAGGACCCCCCGGGACCGGACCGGGCCCCCCCCGCGATGTTGCTCCCCCGCCAGCCGGCGGCTCCTGGCCCTGCTGCTCCCCGAGCGCGGGCGGTGGGCGCTCGTGGGTGCCTCGGTATGGGGGGACCCCGGCTCGGGGGGGGGGCAGGACCCGATTTGGGGGTTCAGGGCTCAATTTGAGGGGGCAGGGCCCGATTGGGGGGGCAGGACCCACTTTCAGTGGGGCAGGACCCGACTGAGGGAGTGTCAGGACCTCACTGGGGGGGAGGCAGGACCCCCCAGTGGGGTGTAAAAGACCCAATTTGGGGGGGCAGGACCCCACTGGGGGAAAAGACCCAATATGGGGGGGCAAGGCCCAATTGAGGGAGGGAAGGACACGACTGGGGGGGGCCAGGGCCCGATTTAGTAAGGGCAGGACCTGATTTGGGGGGCCAGGAGCCAATTTGTGGGGGAACAGAACCCGTACTGGGGGGGGGCAGGAGAAGATTGGGGAGAGAAGGACCCAACCAGGGGGTCGAGACTCAATTTGGGGGGGTCAGGACTCAATTTGTGGGGAGCAGGACCCCTCTATGGGGGTGACAGGGCCTGATTTGGAGAGGCAGGGCCCGATTTTGGGGGACAATTAACCAATCTGGGGGAGGGTCAGAACGCATTTTTGGCTGGTCAGGACCCATTTTGGAGACAATTTTGGCAGGTCAGGAGCAAGTTTTCAAGGTTCAGGACCCAGTTTGGGGGGGGTGATACCCAATTTTAGAGAGTCAGACCCAATTCAGTGGCTCAACAACCAATTTTTAGGAGTCCACAGACAATTTTAGGTGTGCAGGACCCAATTTGGGGGGGTCATTACCCAATATGGGGGATCAGCACCCAATTTTCAGGGGTCAACACCCAAATTTGGGTTGCCCAGACCCCAATTTTGGGAGTTCAACCCCCGGGTTTGGGGTCTTAGCCCACAACAGAGCGGGGTCAGGACCCAATTTTCAGGGGTCAACACCCAATTTCCAGGGGTCAGCACCCAGTTTCCAGGGGTCAACACCCAACTCTGGGTTTCCCAGACCCCATTTTGGGAGTTCAATCCCCAAGTTTGGGGTCTTAGCCCACAACAGAGGGTGTCAGGACCCAATTTTCAGGGGTCAACCCTCAAGTTTGGGATCTTAGCCCACAACGGGGGGGGGTCAGCACCCAATTTCGGGGCTGAACCCCCTGTTTTGAGCGTGGTCGGTACCTAAAAAGTGGGGCACGGCTCCACGCCGGGGGCTGTCCCCACCCAGCCTGGGGGTGTCCCCACCCACCCTGGGGGTGTCCCCTCCCTACAGGTGAGGTGGCCGGCCCCTACTTCACGGGCCACGTCGCTGACCGGGTGATGCGGGAGGAGGACGCGTGGGCGGCCGTGTGGCCCTTGGTGGCGCTGGGGCTCGGCAGGTGGGTGACAATAGGACCAGGGAGGGGACACCTCCGGAGGTGGCCGTGCCCGCTGACCCCGCACTGTCCCCGCAGCGCCCTGGCCGAGCTGGGCTGTGACGGAGCGGCGGCCGCGGCGCTGACCCGGGCTCGGGGGCGGCTCCAGCGCGGCGCGGTGGCCGCGGTGCTGCGGGGGGATGCGGCCGGACCGGGGGGCGTCCTGGGGGACACTCCGGCCGCGGTGGCAGCGCGGGTGACGGGGGATGCGGCGGCGGCCCATGGGGCTCTGGCCGACGAGCTGGTGCCGGCGCTGTGGGCGCTGGCCCGGGCAGGGGCTCTGCTGGCCGTGATGGGCTCGCTGGCCCCGCTGCTGGCCCTGGGCACCCTCCTGCTGCTGCCCCTGCTCCTGCTGCTGCCGCGCCGCGTGGCCGCCACCCAGCACGTACCGGGGGGGGGGGGTCCTCTTGTCACCCCTGTGTGCTCAGTGCCACCTTCCTGCACCCCCTGTCCGCACTAGGCTTCCCCTCAGCGCTTCCCCCGAGCCTTTTTGTCACCTCCCTCTGTAACCTGTACCTTTGTCCCTGCACACCCCCCCCCACCCCGGTCACTCTTCTTGTCCCCTCCCTGCAGCCCATATCACCTCCCTGGGCCCCTTGTCCCCTCCCTGCAGCCCTGGTCACCTCCCTGGGCCCCTTGTCCCCTCCCCTGCACCCCTGGTCACCTCCCTGCACTGTGTGCCCCATTGTCACCTCCCAAAGCCGCTTGTCCCCACCCCAGGTCCTGTCCGAGTCCCTCGTGTCCCCTCCTGGTGCCTGCTGTCACCTCCCCATGCCCACTGTCACCCTCTCCTGTCCCCTGTGCCCTCCCTGCCTCCCATCTGCACGTGTGGTGACCTCCCTGTCCCCAGGGTGACCCCCTCAATGATCCCACGTGGTGACCCTGCAGTGACTCCCGTGTAACCCCCGTGTGCTCTCTGTGACCCCCCCCATGATCTTGTGGTGTTCCCTCTGTACCCTCCAGCCCTGTGGTGACCACTCTGTCCCCTCTCTGTACAGACCCTCCGTGCCCTCCATCCCTGTGGTGACCCCCCTGTCCCCCGTGTCCCCAGGGTACCCACTGTCCCCCGTGTGGTGACACCCGTGGTGACCCCTGTGTGGTGTCCACTCTGTCCCCTCCCTGTCCCCACCCTGTCCACCCTCCATGCCCTCCATCCTTGTGGTGACCCCAGTGTCCCCAGGGTACCCCCTGTCCCCTGTGTGGTGACCCCTAGTGGTGACCTCCCGTGGTGACTCCATGTCCCTAGGGTAGCCCCTGTCCCCTCTGTCATGACCCCCCATGGTGACGCTGTGTCCCCCATGTGGTGACCACGTGTGGTGACCCCACTGTCCCCCTGTGGTAACTCCCCGTGATGACCCCTGTGGTGACCCCGTGTCCCCAGGAGCTGGCGAGGGGGGCGCAGGAGGCTCTGGCCGGTGCCACCGCAGTGGCCCTGGAGTCGCTGGGGGCCCTGGGGACTGTCCGGGCCTTCGGCCACAAGGCCGGAGTGACCACCCATGTCCGGCAGCGCCTGAGCCACGGCCACCACCTGGAGAGCAGAGAGGCCCTGGCATACAGGGTGGCTCACTGGGCCAGCGGGGTACGGGGACACAGGGAGGACACGGGGCATGGGGACACATGGGGGGGACATGGGGAGATGGGGACACATGGGGGGGACACATGAGGATGGGGGGCATTGTCACGGTCGAGGCAGGAAGCGACATGGGTTTCAGGATACCACCAGCTTTTTTATTGCAACAGTGCATCTACCTTTATACAGTTCTGGGGTGACACATGTACACACAGCATTGGTTTAGCACTTCATAACAACTCATGGTTGGACACACAGCCACATGTCCTAACACCATAGGTTGACATTCTAACAGGAAACCCACTGTGTCACAGTCCCCACTGTCCGTGGTTAACCCTCTGCCAGGTGTAAGAAGTTCCATCTTCAGGATCTCAGCTTACTGAGAGCCCAGAACCAGCTGGATTCCCCCACAGGGCTTGGGAAGATGGGGACACATGGGGGGACACACGGGGACAGGGGGCAAGGGAGGACGGGGACACACGGTGGGGAGGCCCTGGCATACGGGGTGGCACGCTGGGCCAGTGGGGTACAGGGACACGGGGGACACACGAGGACAGGGGGTACGGGGGGATGGGGACACACAGGGGGGTACACGGGGACGAGGGGCACGGGGGTTGGGAACCAGTGGTCTGGAAATGGAGGACTTGGTGGCAGAGGGCTGGGAACACGGGGATGGGGGACGTGGAGGTGAGGGGGGACTCAGGGGTGAGGACAGGGTGGCAGAGCGGTGGGGTACATGGGGATGGGGACGCACGAGTGGAAGACATGGGGGGACACAGGGTTTGGGACAGGGTGGTAGGGGGCCTGGTGATGGGAGGCATAGGGGATGGGGACACATGAGAGGGGGCACGGGGACAGGGGGCACAGGGGATGGGGATACATGGAGGGGACACGGGGACGGGGGTACAGGGGATGGGGACCAGCGGTCTGGAAACGGAGGACTTGGTGGCAGAGGGGTGGGGGACACGGGGCAGGGTGACACGGGGGTTGTGGTCATGGGAGTGGGGGGACACAAGGGTGAGGACAGGGGGGCAGGGGACATGGGGACACGGAGATGGGGGACACAGGAAGGGAGGACGTGTTGGGGGGGAGGGGACACAGGGGCGAGGACAGGGTGGCAGAGGGAGGGGGACAAGGGGCAGGGTGACACGGGGGTGGGGACATTGGGTGTGTCGGCAAAGGGCTGGGGGACACGAGGGCGTGGTGATCTGGAGACAAGGGACGTGAGGATGGGTTGCACGTGGGGCTGGGGGGCACGGGAACAGGGTGGCATTGTAACAGGGGACATGGGGACATGGCAGCAGGGAGCTGGGGGACACTGGATGCGGTGGCATGGGGATGGAGACATGGGGACAGGGAACACAGGGAAAGGGGGCACAGGGATGGCGGACATGTGGCAGGAGGCTGAGGGACATGGGGGACAGGGGACATGAGACTGAAGT